GCATTTCCACCACTGTCCTAGGCATCATCAGGGTAACTGAGCGCGCCTGAAACAAAACCAGCAGAGAAACTAAAGGTGACAGGAAAATTGTGAACAAAAACCAACAGACTCTACCTAACCTGGAAATCATTTTCACTGAAGAGGTCAGTTCAGTTTTAAGTTATGTAAATATTGTTCACGTCTATTTTATGTATAATAGAGGAAAGCAAGGTTCTACCAAAATAACTGCTAGATTATCTAGCAGTGTTTTCTGATATTACACTCAAGTTCAAGTCTGGCAAAACTGTTTATAAACAAATTAATCTATGCCACCAGAATAATAATCAACCACTAATTATAATGCTTTATATACTACAATTACTCAGTCAAATCCCTATTGACATAACCCTAAACCTTTTTCTCTTAAACATCCCACCAACTTAGTATCATATCCTGGTTTTCTGTGAATCAAATTTTTTCATGAATATGAAAGAACCACTTCTGCTATTCAACTATTGCTGTTGTTCGTTGTTAAATGGTGTCTCTTTGCAACTCCATGGACTGCAGCACGCCAGGCTTCCCTGTCCTTCACCATCTCCCAGAATTTGCTTAAACTCATGGCCACGGAGCTGGTGACGCCATCCAACCATCTCATCCTCTGTCACCCCCTTTTTCCTCCTGCCCTCCATCCTTCCCAGCTGATCTTTTCCAGTGAATTGGCTCTTCGCATGAGGTGGCCAAAGTATTGGAGCTCTGTATTCTACTATTAACCGCAATCAAAATCTGACAATTCTAGAAATGCCTGTATTTACAACATTTACATTCCATTAAGTCCATAAACCGCATAAAGCAAAATTACTGCTTCGTTGGCAGGAACACAGCAAAGTGAAGCTGGTTGAGATGCAGCTCCAATTCAAGGTAAGGAGACAATGGCGCCCTGACCTCAAACCCCCAAACGCAAACCACAACCAATTACTACCCAAGGAAAAAAATCTTTTTTAAAGGAATAGAGATACCTATAAATACTAAAAACACATCACTGGCAACTGCCTAGCTCATTACACACTAGTCACCAGATCTTCCAAAGTACCAAAGTTTAATAATACAACTGCTATTTCCAAAAGAGTCTCAAATATACTTAAGTTGTAATGATAAAGCATAGTTACAACCTAAGCATTAGTCCAAAGTATAGATTAAACTCTGTGCTTATTTGCTCAGTCATGTCCAACTCTTAGAGACCCCACGGACTATAACCTGCCAGGCCCCTCTGTCCATCGGATTCTCCAGGAAAGAACACTGCAGTGGGTTGCTATGCCCTCCTCCAGAGGATCTTCCCAACCCAGGGATCAAACCCAGGTCTCCCGCATTGCAGGTGGATTCTTCACCATCTGAGCCACCAGGGAAGCCCAGATTCAGCTCCAAATGATGCGATTACTACGACCTCATCTGAAGACTTCCTACTCTACCTCTACTGACAAATCACAAGTTATTTTTTACACACACCTTTGGGTAGTCTGGGTAGTATGAAGCACCACATTACTTCTCAAGACTAATCAGAGTATTAAAGTGTAACACATTTACCTTCAATAAAGAATACAGGGGTGTCCACAAAAATTCTAGGTTACCCTTTCCCCATCGATGCCAAAAAAAAGGCAATGAATTCAATAAGTAATACACAAAACAAATATCTCACAAAAGTGAAGTGGTCAACTAACTACCCAGCAAGGTTTCTACATTCAGGTGTAAAGTTTATGCAAAAGAATAAGACATGAAACGACAAATATTTAACAGCCGAACAGAGGATCTCACTAAGTTTTTAAAAAGCACATATCCCTGTTTAGTCAAGAATAAAGGTACACAAAAAGGAAGCCATATTCAGCATTCTTTTCACAAAGTGTTTACTGAGCACGTACCATGTGACAGACATAAAAGTGACATTTCAAACAATAAAACTCTAAGCTCTTGCCTTCATGCAATCAGAGAAGGATTCAGACAAAACCAATGGCTATAATGACAAAATTAGGATAAGATAAACAACGGAACACCCAAAACAACATGCAGACTTTTGGGTAACTAGAGAAGCCCTCTTCTGAGGGAGTACAGAGATTAGCAACAAGAACTCTGCCATGATACATAATCAGAAACCCCTAAAAGAAGTGAAGGCTTAACATTAAAAATGAAACAGGAAAGGCGGGACTAAGAATCTCTTATAAGCATTATCATGCACTATGGCTCTCCATAGTAATCAAGATATTAATTCAGCTTAAAATCAATTTCTTGGTGATAAAGCACTGATTCTAAATTTAGATCATCAACTTTCATTTTAAATATAATCGGAGATGAAAAACACACAATGATAAAATATAATCTGTTTCTTCTTTGGAAGCCCTTCTACATACAAAGGTGAATATGAAGCAAACTTAACGAAGCTGATGTTAAAACATATTCTAATTTTCTTTAAAAGTGAGAGTAATCCAAAAAGCCAAGCTTATCGTCTCCCTAAACATAAACACCCCAGATCAGCAGTTAGCAATGCTGCCTGAAACCACCAGTCACAGTCAATAGTTATGTAATTTGGTAACAGATACTGATCACTGTAACCCCTCCAAAGCCGCTGTCAAAAGAAAACAAACCAAAAACTACACTCGTATATGTACATAAAAAAGATTCTCCAAATATATAAATACATGGCTTACATCTTATTTTTACAAATAAAATTCTGAATAAAGTTGCTCAACATTTATTGACCATAATAAAGGCCAGAATGATGTTATAAGAAAAATTATTTGTGGTGGACAAATAGAGTGAAAATTCATCATTTCCCAGATATTAAAAAAAGTTCAGACAAAAAAGTTTAGATAAAGCAACTCAAATCCACTGGCTTTAAAATATTGATTTAGGGAATTATTAACTTTAGTTTACCTTCATGATAATGAAAAATACATGCTAAATGTGATGCTTAAACTTCCAAAGACCAGAATAAACAGAAACATAACAGTATGCAAAGGTTCTCCAGAAAACAAAAAATGCAAGTGTAAACTAGGTGCTAGATAATATAAGAGCTAAGAAAAAAATATTTTAAAAAGCCAATTTATTTCATCAAAAAACAGTTTCTAACATAGCCCTGGAGGATCATTTCTAGAAATGTTCAGTCCTAAGTGGAGAGGTTGCTGTCTAGTCACTAAGTCATGCCTGACACTTTCGAAACCCCACAGCTTGCAGCCCATCAGGCTCCTCTTTACATGGGATTCTCCAGGCAAGAACACTGGAGTGGGCTGCCACTTCTAAATGAATTAGAGAACCATTTGCCTGAAATGGCCTTCGCCTTTTGCTTTACTTCAACATCTGCACAGCAACTTTTCACCCGCAGGACAACCAGAAAAAACATAGTTCTCTGAATGACAGGCCAGTTATTACTTTAAAAACTACTCAGATAGTGTATCTTAGAAAGGAAAGAAAAAGTCTCAACCAAGTGCTTAAAAACAGAATTTAATAAAATCAACTGTGTTTCTGAGTCAGGATTTTTAAAAATGGCAATGCAATTCAGAATCCCAAAGAGTAAACTGTATTACTAGCACTAAACTGAAAAAAAGTTCCTTTTCTCAACTAGACTTGGGAAATTTCTGAAAAAAATAATTATAAATAGGTGCATTCAAACAGAAAAACAAAACAACTATGTACCAATATAATATTTTACACCTGAATTTTTAAAATCAGAATAAAGAAAAATGAACTCATTATTCTGAAAGACAGCATAATCCTGAAGGCTAAATGACTGCACGTCACCTTTCAAAGACCTGCTAATAAACCTATGAATGAACACAACTACGCATTATTAATTTGTTTACTAGCACCTAACTCGTAAAATCATTAGAGAAGGTAAGTTGTGAACCAGGAGTAACTTATCATCAGTGTTCAAATTGGCAACCTGAACCTAACAATTCATATTGGCATTCAACTACGGATTAAGACGAATGGCTCCGCCAGTGCAGACGGAAGAAATGGATCTTCTCCCCCACCATGGGCAAACTCAAGAGGCTGAGACGCTAAAAGTCAAGTTTGCTCAAAACTATAAACTGGGATTTAATAAGGGATTCAATTTCATGAGAATGTTCAAATTCGTCCAACAGGATTGGGGCCCCAAAGACGGCATTTCAGTAAACAGTATTAACTTGTAATTACCTACGGGGACAAATCAGAAATAGATGCTACTAAAACCATTTCCTAAGAGGACGTGAGTCCCGGGTAAGGTGTCTCTCCCGCGGCGGGAGGATGGGCTCTCAGGGTCCCTCCCTGAGCCCTCCCCTCCACGGCCCTCCCACACCTCTCCCAGACCAACGCACCGGGAGGAGACCTATTTAAAAAACAGAAAACTGCTGGGAATTCTTTCAGCCTCTTTGCCACAAACAACTACCATTGTCCCAGGCCGAAGGCGAGTGAGATTTCCTCCTTTTCCAGGAGCACGCCCAGGGCGGGCTACCCCCAGCCAGGCCCGGAGCCACCGTACGCGCCCCGCCCTGCGCCCCCCGCCCCTCCCCTCCCTCCCCAACCCCCCCAACCCCGCCCCCACCCGATCGCCCCGACCCCCTCCCCTCCCCCTCCCGACCCTCACCCTCCCCCACCCTCGCCCCTCTCCCGGCCCAGCCCCCCTCCCCCAGACCCGGCCCGCGGCCGCGCGCACGGCCGGCGCGGGGAGGGGCGCCCGCCCGTCCACCTGAGCGCCGGCAGCGAATGGGAGGGACCGCCTCTCCGCGGAGTTCAATTCCGGGCCGCGTTATCAGCGGGGCCGAACGGTCGGAACAACTTCCCCGACATTCGCTGTGCGCGCCCGGCCGCCGAACCCGGCGCCGAGCCCCGCGGCCGGCCACACGCCCGCGCGCCCCGGGGACAAAGGTTCTCCGGGCGGAGACCCTACCAACCGCGTCCCCGCCGAGCCCCCCGCCCCCGCCCCGCGCCCCCCGGTCCGGGCGCCCCCCGCCCCGCGCAGGTGAGCGCGCCCCGCCCGCGCCCGCGGCCCGCACCTCGGTGGGCTGGCTGATCTCGAACAGGTCCAGCCGGTTGGCGTTCCAGTGCTGGATGATGTCGGCCAGCTTCCGCCGCTCCTCGTCGCGGCCGCCCGCCGACATCCTCCGGCCGCGGGGTCGGCCCGGCCGAGGGGCCGCGCGCCGGGGTCGGCGGGCCCGGCTCGCCGCCTGTCCGCCTCGGCCCCGCCGGCCGGCGTCCCGTGCTCCCGGCTCCGCGCCCCCCGCGCGCCCTGCGCCCCGGCCCGGCCGCCTAGGCTCTCGGCTCCGCGGGCTGCTCGGCCGCGTCCGCCGGCCCCGCGTCCGCCGCCGGCCGGTGTGAGTGCGCCCCGAGCGCCCGCCCCGCGCCGCCCCGCCCGCCGTGCGCGCCCCCGCCCGCGCCGCCCCGCCCGCCCGCGCCGCCGGCCTCCGCGAGGTGCTGCTGCTGCGCGCGCGCCGGGCGGGGCTGGTCCCGGCGGGCGGCTTGGTCCGACCGCCGCGCCGGGCGCGGACCGTGCTGGATGCGGAGGCGGGCACCGGGTTGAGACGGCCGAGCCGGGTTTAGGTGGTACCGGCTTCGGACCGACGGTCCCGCGTCAGGTGGGCGGACCGGGTTCGGACGGTACCGGGTTTGGACCGGCGGTAGCAGGTCCGACCGAGGATGGGTGGGTGGGGTTCGGAGGGACAGTACCAGGTCCGCTTGGGAGGCCGGGTTCGGACGGTATTGGGTTCAGGCGGGCTGGCTGGGTCCATATGCCGATGTGTTGGGTCAGCCGGCCTCGGGTAGAGCTAGTGGGTGGAGTTCGGATGGACGGTGCCAGGTCCTCCGGGCGGGCCGGGTTCGGCCAGGCGCGCTGGGCTGTCGAGGCCCCAGGGCTAGGACGCGCGGAGCCCCTGTGCGCGCTGACCACAAGGGCCCCGCAGCGCCCGACCGGGCCAGCTCCGGGGTGACCCTGTCCGCCCCGCCCGGGGCTGAGCCCCCTCGCCCGTGTTTGTCCCGCGGTGTCCTCCACGTGTGGACCGGGAAACCCGTCCTCTCCCAGCACAGGCTTCCAGCCGCGGGGGAGGGGGGTCCCCGAGGTGCCCCCGCGGGGAGATGCTGCCTGTCCACTGCGCGGGCGCCTCTCAGGCTCCGGGTGTCCGTGCAGACCCCACATTCATTTCAGTAGCAAATTTTGTCCGTTTTAGAAATGTTTATTTCATTAGGGGTTTTTAATTGCCTCTCCCCCGTGGCCCCCCCCGCCCCCTTTAAAAAAAAAAATTGGCCGCAGAACACCTTCCAGCAGACAGATCTCCGTGCAGCGCTCTGCCAGGTAAAACCAGCCTCCTGCCTTATCTGTGATGTGTGGAAACAAAAAGCCCTCGTGTCTGAAATACCACGCCAAGTGATGAAAACAGCGAGCTGCGTTTGACACAGCCTCTTTATTTGTGTCATTACTTTGTCTTTTGCAGCGTGGAGACGATTTTCCTCTCCACCAATCGGATTTCTTCTTTTCTGGGAAAGATGAGAATTCTACCATCCCTGCTGGGTTTTGTCTTCAGCTCTCTTTTCTGCAGCACTGGTACAGTTCAGCTTCATAAGGAGGCTTTTCAGCAGAGAAGCCTGCGGTGTTGAACCAGTGCCACGGGGGGATGAATTCTTCAATAGATCTCTGGCCTCCTTTCTCAAAATTAAAATGTGGTGACTTGCAGAAAAGCATATGTGTATAAACAGCACATCCCTGTTCCGACATTCTGTTCCTTTATGCCTTTTAGTTCCTGTGCTTCTTTATAGACTCAAGTCGTTTTCTGTTTTGAGATTTTGTTTTTTTGTTTGTTGTGGTGAACATCACAGTGTCCATACAGCTCAAAACTGTCCAGCTAGGTTGCACGCATGCCATGTGGGTCATCAGCTATATTGTCAGCTGAATCCTAACAGTAAGAGCTTTATTCCTGACGATGCTGTTAGCAAGGATCACTTGGCTCTTAGAGCAAAAAAAATGAGTTTGCAAAGCTGGCAGTTAGGATGCTGGTGTCTGAAATAAGTACACGTGGAAAATTTAGTATTGCTGGAAAATAAAAATGGGCTCCCTGTAGTGTTGTTTTTGTAATAAAAATATAAAGCATACATGAAATGCCTACAGTTTGATGCAGAGAAGGCTCTAAATCAAAGCTCATTATTATTTTTTTGACTCATTAAAAATCCCCATTGGTGTTATGAGTGTATGAGCATATAGCTCCTCTGTCCATGGCATTCTCCAGGCAAGAATACTGGACTGGGTTGCCATTTCCTTCTCTAGGGGATCTTCATGACCCAAGGATCAAACCCGTGTTTTCTGCTTTGGCAGGAGGATTCTTTACTGTCTGAGCCACCAGGTAAGCCCATACAGTTCATAGAAGGTCCCAACCAATGTTAGTTTCTTGACAAAGGTTTAAAAGCGAGGTGAAACCCATAGAATACCTATGATTCTTTAATTGTGTGTGTGTGTGTGTGTGTGTGTGTGTGTGAGTTGCTCCGTCATGTCCGACTCTTTGCAACCCCATGGACTATAGCCTGTCAGTCTCCTCTGTCCCTGGGATTTTACAGGCAAGAAGACTAGAGTGGGTTGTCATTTCCTTCTCCAGACGATCTTCCCGAACCAGGGATCGAACCCTGGTCTCCTGCATTGCAGGCAGATTCTTTACTGTTTGAGCTATAGGGAAGTTCTTAAATCATGAAGACGCCTATCTATTTAGGCCGTGAAAATTTAAAGATAACATATTCTTCTACTAGTTGTTATTATTCAAGGCCCAAGAAAATGTGCTGAGCCATATGTTAATTTTGATACCACATTATAGGAATAATAAGTAGACATGCCATCCATCTTCTGTTCTCATTGCACTACTGAGTTCTGATACATTTTGGAAATCATATGTAAGTGCTATTCAAGAGATGCTATATGAAAATTAAGTTGTGTGGGGTTTATGATTAATCCTGCCATGTAGATAAGAACTGAGGTATGGAATGAGAGACCAGACTGAAGCTAAACAACTCTGCACTGGATGAGGGTGAAAAGATTTTTTAATCTGAGTCTATTTTTTTAAAATTAAATTTCCAATGTATATATTTACCTTTTGGTTTCCTTTTTAAGTATTATTTTTAGCTACATTTTAAGAAAATTAAGAGCTTCTGTTTAAGTCAGTACTGACCTACCAATAATTCTAAATATCTGTAAAACAAATCTACATAAAGCCTTGCAGTTTCATATCTTATAAATATATAAGGACAAATAAATAATGATAATTTTAAAATTCTGGTTAAGCTCTGAACATTTACAAATATTTTTTGAAACATGAAAATCATGTTCTGAGACCAACCAAATGAAATGAACCTATTCCTGCCCCAGTTTTCACAGGCTCTGGAAAAGAGAAAATGACAGGGAGAAGATCAGGAGCTTAATCCATCTCAGAAGGAAAATATGATACAAATATATTAACTATATATAACTATATCAACTATATTTAGTGACCTATGGGTCATTTTCTAGCCACCAATAGATTTCATATTTTAGTAAATTAACCAAATTGAAAATTATTTCATCCTGTAATTGTACTAAGCATCATATAAGCTTTTTCTTGGATATATCAATTCAGAGGATCATCTTTAAGCAAAAAGTAAAGGTGTATAATAAAGGTTCAAATAGGAGAATTTCTAGGGTAGACCACCTTCCTTAGTAGCCTAAAGCAAGTAAGAGATAATTTAATTTGCTAATCTAAAAGTTAAATAACCAAACTCTTCCTTTGCCTAACCCATGGCTAGGAAGGTCAGTATGGTTAATTCAGTTTAAAAAAGAAAAAAAAATCCTAGAGGATTAGGTCTCAAGAAATAAAAGTAGGGTATGTGTTACTTTACTGGGTAAATGGAGAAATGTATACTTACACTTGAAAGAAATATCCTTTATACTCTCTTCATTATATTCCAATGTTCCTGATATTTAGTTAAATTTTAGATTTTGTAGATTTCAAAGAGCAGAGCCATAAAAAGCCCTTAAAGTGAGAATTTAATCTTATTTAAAAATATGTATACATATATATATAAATATATATTACTAACTCAAACTTCCGTGGTGTGTGTTCTCTAGCATTTTGTAAACTAAAGATAATGCTGAAAAAAACAGATCTATTTATCTAAAACAGATAAATAAGATATTTACGCTGAGTGTAAAGAAAATGGCCCGTGTGTGTGTCTGTGTCTGAGTGTGTGTTAGATTGTGTCCGTGTGTGTGTGTGTGTAGTGGTAGATGGAGAATTCACCCCATGAGCACTGTTCACTCCCCCCTGTCACGTGCTGTAGAGTGACCCCACACGGCCACCCCCGGTGACCAGGCCTATCCTGCAGTTCCTGAGTCCGCCCCGGCTCGCGGCGCAGAGGTCTGCGTGCAGCGGGTGTCGGGCCCTCACTCCGACTGCTGAGCCTGGCACACGGTGGGCCGCCGGCGCACAGCATCCACAGCGGCCGGCCAGCGCCTGAGCAAGGGGTCTGCGCCAGGCAGTGTCCTCAGCCTGGAGGTCTCGGGAGTTTTCCATCGGCGTTTTCCTGTTCTCATGAATGGAGCTGGGTGAGGAGAGTGCCTCATTCCTACAACTGAGGTCTTAGTTCCCGAGCAGCTTCTCTAGGAGTCCGCCACCCGACTGTCACTGATAAAGCAAAAGAAAATGTAGGAGGCCTTATGGAAACTAGGTTCTACGGTGAACTAAATGCAATAACCCTGACTTCTGCAGCAGTTTTCACAGGCTCCAGAAAATACTGTGTCAGGAAAAAGATCAGTGACTTAATAGACCTAAGAAGGCAAATGGTACAGATATGTTAACTGTTATTCTCTGTCTCATACCATGTTCTGCTAGCAAATGGGTATTTACATATTGCATATATATACATATATAATACTTACAGATATAAATATATAAACTTTTACATGTTATATATAATTTTATAATATATGCTGAGGTATGGAATATGTATGATTTTGCTGGAAAACATGAGTTTGTTTGTTATTCTTTATTGAAGTATCCCTGGATATACTTCCCTGGGCTTCCCCAGGGGCTTAGCAGGAAAGAATCCCCCTGCATTGCAGGAGACACAGGAGATGCAGGTTCGATCCCTGAGTGGGGAAGATCCCCTGGAGGAGGGCATGGCGACCCACTCCAGTACTCTTGCCTGGAGAATCCCACGGACAGAGGAGCCTGGCGGGCGGCAGTCCATGCAGGCGACAGACTCTGACACGACTGAGTGACTAAGCAACGAGATACGATGCTGTAAGTAGGATCGCGTGGTCTTTCTCTTTCTCTTTCTCACTTCTCTTGGTCTGACGTCTCTAGTTGCATCCAAGTTGCTGCAAATGGCATCGCTTCATTTTTTTTATGTCTGAGTAGTAGTCCATTGTACATATGTGCTGCCTCTTTTTTATCCATCTGTGTGTCGATGGGCATTTAGATTGTTTCCATGTCTTGGCTGTTGTGAACAGTGCTACTGTGAACACAGGGTCAACGTGCCTCTTTTTAATTATAGTTTTCTCTGGGCATATCTCCAGGGGTGGGATTGCTGGGTCACACGGTAACTCGAGTTTTCTGAGGACCCTCCATACAGTTTTCCCCACTGGGTGCACCAGCTTACATTCCCATCAGCAGTGTAGGATGGCGCCCTTTCCTCCACACCCTCTCCAGCACTTGTTATCTGTAGACTTTTTAGTGATGGCCATTCTGGTTGGTGTGAGGTGGTACCTCATTGTAGTTTTAATTTGCATTTCTCAAGTAATTAGTGATGTTGAGCATCTTTTCATGTGCCTACTGGCCATCTACATGTCTTCTTTGGAGAAATGTCTGTTAAGGTCTTTTGCCCATTTTTCAATTGAGTTGTTGGGTTTTGGTTCAGTGGGATGAGCTGTTTCTGTATTTGAAGAGTCAGCCCTTGCCTGTCATGTCATTTGCAAATATTTTCTCTTATTCCATCGGTTGTCTTTTTGGCTTTTTTTTTTTAATTGTTGGAAAACATTTTAAAATGCAAACTCCAAGTAAATTGTACTTAAACAAATAAAAGCATACCAAATGAAGGGAATGCATATTATTAAGCTTTAGCAGCTTTCCTGGTGGCTCAGAAGGTGGAGAATCTGCCTGCTATGCAGGAGACCGGGGTTCATTCGCTGGGTTGGGAAGATTCCCCTGGAGGAGGGCATGGCTACCCGCTGCAGTATTCTTGCCTGGAGAATCCCCATGGACAGAGGGGCCTGGTGGGCTGCAGTCCATGGGGTTGCAAGGAGTCGGACAAAGCAACTAAGCAGAGTACAAACAAAGCAGTGAAAATAAGATACACCAGAGAAGAAAGTGGCCTGTGGCCTGCCAGGTGCCTCTGTCCACAGGAGCCTGGAAGCGCTTCCTCACCCACCAGCGTCTCTGGAAACCAGAAACACCAAATCACAGGTGTTTGCTCGTGGAAACAGCACAGCTTAAACAAGGCACTCTTGATACGTGCAGGAATTCCCTGAGAAGTGGGAAGCTTGGTCAGCTTCTGTGATAATGGTGTTACAGGTCTATGCGCAGAGACTCCAGCTATGATTATACATGATTATACATGAGTGACAGGTGAAAAATAAAGAGAAAATGTAAGTTTAGAGTGCACAGCGGTGAGAGGGGCCTGAGGAGCTGACCTGTTGGGCCTGGGGGCCCAAGGAAGTGGATCTGCTGGGAGCTGGGTCCTGTCAGGCCGAGGACTCCAGAGCGCGCCCCAGGAGGAGAGGGGGCCTTGATGCATCCTCTGGCCTAGAACTGGGCTGAGCCCCGCAATGGCTGCCTCTGGGAGACCTTCCATCCAGACCACACTCGCTCCAGGAGGAGTGGGCCAGGGTAAGGACTGTGTTAGCCAGAGACAGCAGTGAGCAGAGAGGCTCCAAGAGACCAAGGGAGATGGCCCCCGACTTGGGGTGAGCTGACAGACCCCAAATGCCAAGGCCCGCGTGTAGACCAGCTGCTGGAGGACCCTCAGAAGCAGCAATCTGAAGATGAACTCACTCTAGGAAAAGCAGAGCATTCTAGAAAAAGTTTGAAGTGTTTGGGAAACTTTTTTTAAAAATTATTTATTTACTTGGCTGAACCGTTAGTTTTGGCATGTGGGATCTAGTGCCCTGACCTGGGATTGAACCCATGGCCCCTGCACCAGAAACTTGGAGTCTCAGCCGCTGGGCCACCAGGGAAGTCCCAGTGTTTGGGAAGGGAACATATGATGAAGTAAAATCCACAAAGAACTCAAAGTAATAAAGCAACATATTTATAAAGAAACAAGAGATTCTAGAAATGATCCATGTGGGCGCTGACGTAAAAAAACCACCATAGAAGGAAGAAAAGTGCTGAGAAGCACGTCTGGAAAGCAGAATGGGGAGAAAGAGTCTCCTAAACGTAAGCGTCTGTGAGCCTCAGCTTGGCTGGTGGAGTCCCGTCTCATCAGCGTTCCAGGGGACAGGAAATGCAGAGCAGCCACAAACGCTGGGGAGTTTCCAGAGTCGGAAAAATGAGTCTGCAGCTTAGAAGAATCTCAGGCCTGGAGCAGGTACACAGTAGTGGAACTACAGGGCAAAGGTCAAGGTGGAAACGTTACCGGTTACCTGGGAACAGCCTAAAAACAGAGGGAAAAGGTAGAATCAAAGACAGGTCCCGGGTTTGGGGGAGCAAACCGTCCCCGAGGACACGGATGCTGGCCACCGGCCCCCTCCGCTGTGTTCTGCACGCCCTGTGTGGTCACACCGTTTCTGGCTCCTCACCCAGGCGCGTGTGGGTGCGTGTCTGCAGCGGCCCCGCTGAGACGTTGGTGTGCACCCCGGTCAAGTCACGGGGCGCCGCTGTCGCTGGAGCTACCTCATCGCAAAAGCGCTTCCGGGGAAGCGGATCCCCATGACTTCTTCCAGAAGCACTGGGCGTCATAAGAAGGCACTCTTCCTTCTCCCACCCCCATGCCCCGGCTCCAGCGGTTACCACAAGCCTGCTTCATGGACCCTCTGCCCTCTTCCCTCATCCCCAGATTATTTCAAAACAAGAACCAAAAAATAAATAAACCAGAAAACTAGACGTATTGATTCATTACTATCTTAGATGTAGTAATATCTTTGGAAGACTAGGACCATTAAATATTAAAATACATCAGTTCAGTCACTCAGTCGTGTCCGACTCTGTGACCCCATGGACTGCAGCACACCAGGCCTCCCTGTCCATCACCAACTCCCAGAGCTTACTCAAACTCATGTCCATCGAGTCGGAGATGCCACCCAACCATCTCATCCTCTGTCGTCCTCTTCTCCCACCTTCAATCTTTCCCAGCATCAGGGTCTTTTCCAGTGAGTCACTTCTTCACAACAGGTGGCCAAAGTATTGGAGTTTCAGCTCCAGCATCAGTCCTTTCAATGACTATTCAAGACTGATCTCCTTTAGGATGGACTGGTTGGATCTCCTTGCAGTCCAAGGGACTCTCAAGAGTCTTCTCAAACACCAAGTTTCAAAAGCGTCAATCCTTTGGCTCTCAGCTTTCTTTATAGTCATGTCACATCCATACATGACTACTGGAAAAGCCATAGCTTTGACTAGATGGACTTTTGTTGGCACAGTAATTAAAATGCACATTCCCCTAATATTGTCATACTGTGAAACTGAACCATCATTCCTTAAAGTCATCAGCTATCAACTGTGTTCACATCTCAGAAGGCTTTTGAAACCTGTTTCCTCTGCCTGATCCCAGACGCAGAGTCAAAATGCAGGGCTAGGACATGATTCTGAGAGCAAGGTCAGACCGCCCCTGGCCCAGATGCTCACTGAGGTCCTTTCTGACCTTGAGACTGTGACTTCCCAATGCCACACGTCTGCAGTGACACCCAGGAGAACCTGGGTGAAGCTGGTTCTCTTGTATCACTGAACTAGCCTGGAAATCGGTTTTATGTGTGTGGTCAGAGGTGCTAGAATGAGCAGGTTGTTGGGGAGAGTCAAGCCCTCAAGTGTGAGGTCCACCTCTGAATTACAGGTAGTGGCCGGGGTCCATGTAGCTCTCTTGAGGCACCGTTCCCTCAGTGAAAAATAACTTCCTGAGGGTAGTGACCGCAGCAACCCATCTCACAGAGCTGAGCGCAAGCTTTAAGTTAGAGTTAAGCACGTGAGTGTCTTCTCCAAGCACGTGGGTGTAGCAACATCTTCATTTCAGGTTTGAATGCTGGCATGTGCGTGTTCAGTCCTGTCCACTCTTCACGGACCCATGGACTGTAGCTCACCAGGGTCCTCTGTCCATGGGACTCTCTAGGCAAGAATACTGGAGGGGGTCGCCGTTTCCTTCTCCAGGGGGTCTTCCCTACCCAGGGATGGAATTCCCATCTCCTGCATTGCAGGCAGATTCTTTACCCACTGAGCCACCTGGGAAGGCCATTGAATGTTGGCCCTGCAGGGTGTTAAAAAGGTACATGAAGAGAAGGAAAGTCTAGGGGAAAAAAAAATGTTTTTTTAAATAGACTTGGATGGAAGTGAAACAGTACAGAAGTATTCATGCTTATGTGTGTGGGGAAAAAAACATTAAATTTTAACTTTGTATGCAAATTTGAATTATTAAAAGAAACTACATTAGCACTCTGTTTGTGCAGAGTATTGAAGCAAGCCTTGGGAGGTTTTCAAGCCATAGCATGTGTAAGAACTGACTGACTGTATTGTCCTTGTTTGGGCTATGGTTCATTGTGATTGTTTTCACTGCAACACTGCAGTCGGTTAGTACTGTAAATGTTTAAACTCTGCATACTAGACGTGGGGGAGAGCAAGCGCGCACGCTCACCCTCTCCTGAGTTCCTCAGCCACCTTTCCAGCTGGCTTCCACATGCAGGATTCAGGGTGTCTTGCTGCCCATCCCCCTGCTTCCCTGCAGCCCCCTCCCCCCTCCACACCCCATCACAGGCCTCCTGGGAAAGCCTGGCTCAGGGGCGTGCCCCTCTGGCCTCACTGTCCTCCCTGCCTTCTGCTCTGTCCTCCTGGGCTCCCAATCAACAGCTCTGGCTGTGACTCTCCCCACCCGAGGGCTCCTTCCCCGCACTCTCTCCCCAGGTCAGATGGTCTCCATCTTCCCAACACGCTGCTCTGGTCGTATCTCTGTCCGGACTAATAAAACCAAGTCATCCAAGTTGACAGCCCAGTTCCTTTTTTAGCTCAGCTCCTACTGCCTCAACCTGTGAGTTCCAGGCAGGTTGTCCCTGACTCCATCTTCCAAACACCCTCTGCCCCATACCTGCCAGCTTCACTCTTCCCTCCAGGGGGAAGCCCCCTTCAGACCCACCGCTGGGGACCCTCACCGTCCCCCTTAGACCTTAGCACCGAGGACTGGTTTCTGTTTTCCTCTCCCAAACGTGCAGGACGTCACCTTGCACGTGGGAAGTCAGGCGGCCCACGGGACTTGCTTAGGTCAATGAAACAGTGTAGACGTGAAGTGTGTCCCTTCTGGGAGGAGGAGCCCGTGAGTGACCGTCCAGCCCCGTTGGCCCTGCCCGCGGCGACTGAGTCCCTGTGGGAACCAAGGTTTCATACGGCCAAGCGGCCGTCTCAGCCCCAGCTGACCCTGCAGGGCCTCTGAGCCCCGAGGTGGCTGTGAACACGGCAGTTTAGGGCTGCTTGTTACCAGGGCACAGCCTGGCCTGTCTGCAGACCCGTCATCGACTTTCAGACAGAGGTGGACGCCCCCTCCCGCCGGAAGTGGTCCCGCACCAACCAGACTGCGGGTTCCCTCCACGCCCCCCCACGGCCGTGGTCTGTCCCTCTGTTTGTGGTCATAACCCGGGGTGACCCTCACTGAATGTCAAACTGCCGCTGGCTACTAATGCCGAACCCTCTTTGTTTTCAAAGTTTCTTTTTGACCTATGGACCTTTTTAAAGTCTTTATTGAATCTGTTACAATATTGCTTCTGTTTTATGTTTTGTTTTTTTAATAGTCAAAATGGACAATGATTTTATTCATTTAAAAAGATCGTTACTTGCTTATACATTGATGTGGACCAAAAATCAGAACTATTTACAAAGGTATTGTAAGTAGTCTTATTTCTATTTTCCACATCCAATCCCCATTTCATGTAAGTAAACTATTTTTTATTTTTTTAGTGTCCTTTGTATTTCGAGAGTGTTTATGCACATACAATTAAATTGCTTTTTCTACATTTTTACACAAAAATATCCACTCTTCTGCACCATGTGGTTTTCATGTAACAGTATGTACTATGGATAGTTCTATATCAATACATGGTATTTGTTTTTTGGACCGTGAGGCATGTGGGGTCTCAGCTGCCCAACCAGGGATGGAACCTGCACCCCTGGCATTCAAAGGTGAAGATCTAACCACTCGACTGCCAGGGAAGTCCCCTGAACTTTTTTCTGAAAGCCAGTTTACGTGTCTAAATATTAGACGTGATGCCTCTGAAGCGTGACGGACGAATGAGCTGCACTTGCGCAGTAATACAGACGCAGAGCTCCCCAGATGGAAAACCTTCCCACTGACATTGTTTTCTATACTTGGTATAGGAAAGGCACAATCCTAAAGTAGTCCCAGAGGATGAGATTTTATTTTTGTTTTTCTGCAATTTATAGAATAATGACAAGACTGAACAGATAAATTTCTTGCCCAATATTTTTACCAGTTTGATTTCTTCTAAATAAGGTGCAGATATTCATTTTTAAGGGTAGTTCACAAAGCAAACCATAGCTATAAATAATTTGATAACATTATTACACAATAATATTCTTATATTTCTTTAAAAAATCAGATTGATTTTATATAAATTTATAGAAAATCAATTTTAAAAAGCCAATTATGTATCAGAAAAGTTGAAAATCATAGACTGAACAAGTTTAGTTGTTCATATAATGTCTCCAATTACCTTTGACCTGAGTATCTGTTTTGAAATGTGGGACAATTTTTGGTTTCAAGGGTTTTTCTTTCTTTCTTTCTTTCTTTTTTTTTTTTTTTTTTGGTTTGTTTAATGCATACTTAAATATCAGGGATAGAATGAACAAATATAGAGTAACTCACATTTTATATAGCTATTGTTCAGTCACTTAGTCGTGTCCGTCTCTTTGCGACCCCATGGACTGCAGCAAACCAGGCTTCCCTGTCCATCACCACCTCCCAGAGTTTACTCAAACTCATGTCCATTGATGATGGACATGAGTCTGGTGATGCCATCCAACCATCTCATCCTCTGTCGTCCCCTTCTCCTCCTGCCTTCAATCCTTCCCAGAATCAGGGTCTTTTCCAATGAGTCGGCTCTTCGCATCACGTGGCCAAAGTACTGGAGCTTCAGCTTCAGCATCCAAGTGGTTAAGGTGATGGACTAGAAATCCATTGGGGTTTCCCTGCTCAGGTTCATATCGTGCAGACTACGGTACCTTTCCCCAGGGAGAAATCAATCAACATCAGTCCTTCCAATGAACACCAAGGACTGATCTCCTTTAGGATGGACTGGCTGGATCTCCTTGCATTCCAAGGGACTCTCAAGAGTCTTCTCCAACACCACAGTTCAAAAGCCTCAGTTCTTCAGCACTCAGTTTTCTTTATGGCCCAACTCTCACGTCCACACATGACCACTGGAGAAACCATAGCCTTGACCGTACAGACCTTTGTAGGCAAAGTAATGTCTCTGCTTTTTAATATGTTATCTAGCTTTTTCTTCCAAGGAGCAAGCATTTTTTAATTTCATGGCTGCAGTCACCATCTGAAGTGATTTTGGAACCCAAGAAAATGAAGTCTGTCACTGTTTCCATTGTTTCCCCATCTATTTGCCATGAAGTGATGGGACCGGATGCCATGATCTTCGTTTTTTGAGTGTTGAGTTTTAAGCCAGCATTTTCACTCTCCTCTTTCACCTTCATCAGTGAAATTGCTCAGTCGTG